TCAAAATTAGAGACATGATTTTTATTTGATCTAGTCACCAGTGAAGAATAGCATTTTGAACCTGAATTGAGGTAGAATAAGTCTCAAATGTAACAGGGCGAGCAACTTTACTGTCCATGAGGCATAGTCCAGAATCAATTATGAGCTTTCCACAGATATACATGATAGAGAACAAGATTATTTACTAGTGCTGGATTCTCTTTTTGGACAAATAAATTCTCATCTTTATCTGAAGCAATGTAGCCTTGGATCCCAAAAGGTGTCAAGGGCATTGGCACAGTTTTTATTCTCATCACAATTACAGAGTTACTCTTAGAACGACCATATCATTTACCAATGAAACAAAAACTTCACTGAGAGTGGAAGTGGTTCTGGTGATCATGACAGTGGAAAACAGAAGAAAACCAGAATGTAGGAGTACATTTACCCTAGTTCAAGTTTGCTAGAGAAGACTCTTCTGTGGAAGAGCCTTCACTTATTTTGAGATTTTGTATTTCTCTTTAGAGAGGCCAGGAAGTTACTGACTTCTGATGATATGGTTCTGCTTCTGTTTGAAACAAATTTCACACAATCATCAACTGATTAGGTCTCTTCTCTTTATTTTGTTCTTTTTGTATGTATAAACTTTACTGCTTATGACAAACTATCCCAAGCCCTTAAAATTATGCACGCTAAATAACTGTTTTTGGGTATGTTATACATATTATGTATTTGTATTGTGATACCATTTCTAGAGCTAAGTGTTGGTTTTCTCTGTCTTTTAAATGTTTTTTTTTTTTTTTTCCCCTCTTTCATATGGGACAGACTTGTCTTACATTGCTGCTTGCATTTTAGTCTTTACATTGGACAGACTTGTCTTACATTGGTCTATCTTCAAAACTGTATTTTCCTTGACAACTATCATGAGTTTCTACGCACATATATGAAGGGCATAAGGATACCAGTTTCATCCTGATGGGACTGTGCTGTGTCTCAGGGCTCCAATGGAGGACAGTGGTGATAGTGGAACAAGAATCAATCTCTCTTTTTTATACCACCATCCTTACCATACCACAATCTGAAGTTGAATGGCAGTATTGATCCTTACGGGACATTTGGAGCAAATCAAAATATATCAGAGTATGCTTTTAAGTCATGTACATTTTTCACTACCCCTTATCCGCTTAACCTCCCAGTGGAAAGATTGCCTACACACACACAACAAACTTGGACTGTTCTTTTTCTGGTTAGAAGTTGTGTTAAATGGGCCTCCCTGGTGGCGCAGTGGTTCAGCGCTGGGTTGCGAAGCTGCCTGTGGCCTCTTGCAGCGCCGGTTCGATCCCCGGCTGCTCCCCGGCCACTGGAGGAGGGTCCCACATGGCGCGTAGACCTCTCCTGCCGCCCGCTGCTCCCCTCAGCAATGTAATTTGTCAGTCTGCCTGCTCTGCTCTCCACTCTGCTCTCCACTCTGCTCTCCGCTCTGCTCTGGCTCTGGTGAATTCTCTCACCCTCCCGCGCTTCTGACTGTACCCAGTGATTGTATAAATAAATAAATAAATAAATAAATAAATAAATCTTTAAAAAAAAGAAAAAAAGAAGTTGTGTTGAATGCTGGCAAATTAAAATGACTAACCGAATAGTATTTTGTTGTTCTTGTTGGACAAAATTTCTTTGAGATTGCTATTGATGTTTATAATTATTTGATCTCTAGATAAATCATCCTACTAACAATGAATCTCTGTTGTATTTGGTACACATTAAAATTTACCACTTAAACTAATTTCATATTTCAAACAGAAAGTAGCTACTCTAATAGAAGACACTTGTTGGAAAATGCAAAGTTTCAAAATGACTACAAAGTGAATGTTCTAAAAACCTGAGAAATATAGTTACCAATTCTGTTATTTGAGTTTGAATATTTTTATTTTGCTAATCACTCTGGGCAGAACATATTTGAAGGTGATCAATGTGGCCATTATTTTCTAGCCAGTAGTTTACTGAATTTTTTGTAAAACATGTCCTATGATCTCAGTTTCACAGGTAGCAGTGTACCTAGCTCCTACTTCCTAGACTCAAGAAAGCAAACATTTGTAGCCAAAGGAATGTCAAGAAGTGCTCAGCAGCAAATTTGGATGACACCTCCTTTTGTTTCATGGAAAGATTTCCCAGGGTCTGGAGGGAGACAGCTGGAGGCAACTATGGAGATCTAATTCCATAGGTAATAGCAGGATGGACACCTGTTGTGGCAAAAGGAATGCCATGCAGAGCAATAAGGGACCTCTAATTCTTAATGGAGTGTGAAATTCAACAACCACACTTCCGGGCTTCCTGGCCTCAAGCCACCATTTTTTGTTTGTTTGTTTGCTTGTTTTTCCATCAGGACTCTAACCTGAATGAGATCTCTATTTAAAATGTTTTTCATTTTAACTGAGGACAAATGTCTGTTTAGTAACAGAAACAGAAGATGGTGACAATATGCTCTGTACATATATACCTGAATGACTTGTGGAAGGGCAGATTTATATGCTTCTGCCCATTTCTTCAGGTGGAGAGACCATCATCTGAGTTATTCTGCTGACCCTGCTTTGCCTCCTCATTCCTTTACCTTTTGGACAGGAATTCTCATTTTGGAAGAAAAAAAAATTAATCTTGCTTAGTTCAGATCCTTGCTTGTATTTATCTATGGGATATACCTGTGTAGTGGAAATGCAAGTTCCCTACTGTTTAGTGTAATAAGTTTTATAGATATATGGTTCTTGAGGGGGCAAAGGTTTTCCATTTGTGCCCTAGCTAGATGTGAATATTCTTTCTGGGTCACATTTTTGGGTAAGCCCATTTGCTTAACAGACCAAGTCATATCATAAGATTAGCTGAATATTCTCTCTTTCACAGGCTTTAAATCAGTTGAGTTTAATAAGGATGTCGGTGATGCTGATACATATTTGATCCCATAAAATGCAAACACTTCTCCTCAGTTTTTCCCTCTTCCAGAATCCTTAAAAGCTCGTTAAAAATTATAACATAATTTCCATGATCTACTCTCTAAGAGAATTTTATGTGAAATGCTCTGATATCCTTTACTATAGAATACTGACACCTAAAGCATTCTTTTTCTTACTTGCACATTAGAGTTTAAAACTAGTTACAGCAAACACAATATATATTTTGTATTAAACATAAAGTACTAGTAAGACTTGTCTGATCAGTCTTATTATTGCATTCTTAGTAAGTCTGAAATCAACAAAATAAACCAAAAAAAATTGTGACAACTTTACTGAAAGATTCAGGTTGACATTTTAAAACTTCCTTGAGCTAAATCACCAAGATACATTAACAGAAAAAAAAAAAATCAAAGCCAACTAAGAGCTTATGAAAGACAGAGTAAATCCTTTAGGATGATTAGTTCAGTGAAATGTTAAAAGAATATTTTGTGTGCATGTCAGGTCTCTTGCTAGTCTCAAACTAGCAATTTGGATTCACTTCATTATAGCCACTGAAGTACCTTAGCAGAGGCTGGGAAGAGGAGTGAAGAGCCAGAGAGAAAGAGCAATAACACTTAAATGACGGAGTTGCTCTCATAATTCAGCTCCAGATAACTCAAACAAGCACCTTGCAAATGACAGTGCAGGGCTGAGGTAAACTCAAAATGAATGAAAATGCATAAGACACACAAGCCCTCCAGAAGCTCCCTGGATGAGTCTCAAAATGAATATTCTGAAGATGTAACTCATTTCTCTCTTTGTCTCAAGAGCTGATTCTTCCATTTTAAATCAAGGATGCTTTTGAAACCAATAATATCTTACACTATGGCTGTATTTTATGGTAATAAAAGTGGTCATATTTTGTTAAAAACACATGGGATTTTATATATTGGTAAATTTGTTAATGGTAAACTCTTATTTTTTTAAAAGCGCATTTAACTATTTAATGCAATTTTCCTATGGCAGTATCATAGCACTTTTTGATGATCTTATTATGTATGTATGTGCCTGACTCTTTTCAAGGAAAACATGATATTCAAATGAATACTGTGATGATAATAAATAAATTTGAATTGTTTAGTAAGCAAAAGAAAAGAAAAGGGACTTGTACAACTCTGGATTGAGTTGGACATGAATAATTCTAGCTCTAAATCTTATTCATTGAGTTACATAGGCAATTAAGTTAACCTCTCTGTTCTTCTATATCCTAAACTGTAAAATGGGAATAAATTAGTATTAACTGCAAATATTTCTATGACTATACATATAAATGATAACAACCTATTGAATGATATTTAGTTGTACAATAAAACCAAGTGCAGTTAGTGATTCTTCTGACCTCCACTCTACTGTGCACCACAGCTTCAATCTAATGAGGAAGACAATACTAATATTTCTAGTTTCCATTCTCTAAATACTCCCTAAGTGTTTGTACATATTATCTCCTTTAATCCTAACAAGTATATGAAGTAGGTCCCCATGGTATTCTCATTTTATAGATAATGTGGTAGAAAAAGAGGGCTTAAATAACTCACCCTAAGTAATACATAACATAACAGATATTCAAATCCAGGAAATATGACACCAGAGCTTATCTCAACAACCATGAGTCTGCCCTACCATCTGGATGATTATCACCAGTAGAATATTTAGTGAGCATTGACCAGCAGCGTATTCATCTGAAAAAATGGGCTGGGTAATCTGGGTAGGGAAGAATCCTTACACTAACTGGAAGGAACTCAAAAGAAGACTGCTTTTTAGATGTATAACATAAGGCAAAGCCTCAGAACTTGTCTAATACTAAAACTCATTTTTGAAAGAATTGGTGTGTGTGCATGTGTGCATGTTATAAAAGATAAGATTCACTAAATATATTAAAATTACAGAATTTAGACAGCAGTCCTATTAGTTATCCCTTAATAGCATGAAGAAGGATTGAATCTTCAGGTGATCACTCCTGAATTTGTATTGGTTCACTAGGGTTATCACAACAGAGTATCATAGAGTGGGTGGTTAAATAACAAAAATTTATTTACTTACAGTTCTGGAGTCTAGAAGTCCAAGAATAAGAGTCATCATGATTGGCTTCTACAGAGGTGTCTCTCTTTGGCTTGAGGATGCAAGCTTCTCATTGTGTCCGTACATGACCTCTCATCTGTGTGCCTTCATTTTTGTGTTTTCATCTATTCCTTTAAGGGAACCAGATATTTTGTATTACAACACAATCATATCATCTCATTTAACCTCTTGAAAGATCCTTTCTGTAAACAGTCTCCTTCTGAGGTACTGAGTGTTAGGACTTCAACATGTGAAAAGGTGACAGTGGGGCAACATTTCACCCATGATACTATACTTTCCATAAGTGTATGGGGCTATGCTAAGGTCTGTGGGGATAGTTGACTAGAACTGATCAGATTAAGATTGAGAAGAATTCATAGAATAAAGGCAAAAACCAAAAGTGTTTGCTTCTTTTTTTTTTCTTTTTCATCTATGGTGAAAATGGAGGAAGGAATGCCCATTAGTGGCTGTATTCTGGATTATTCTCTACTGGTCCCACTGCCTGAAAAACAACTGAGAAAAGTCAATGTAAGGACTGCAGATGACTGGGATATCTTGGAACTATTCAGTAATTAGTGCTGATATATCCAAACTTGACACAATGGTGGTTGTTGTTTTAAAGGAGTCACTAGGACCGAGTATCTTGCAAAGAAGACTGAATATGGTAGACTCTTTTCACTGCCAAATTAGCAGTCATTTTCCAACTATTCCTTTGTTAAGTATCTCTTCTTTTTGAAAGAATACTACTTCTGTTCAGAAATATGTAGTCCCATTTTTTGGTAAAGGCTAATCTCTTCAAGATCCAAGAATGGATTACCAATCATCTAAACTGCTTATTCTCTCTGCTAATCAGTGGCTTAGAAAGGGTAACCATTTATTTAACCAAATATACATTAAGGAATATATGCTGGGTAGATCTGTTAGAAAAATCAAAATCAACAAAAACTATGAACCAGAGACACTTTTTGGGGGGTGGGGGTGGGAGGGGAGGGATTGGGGTCAGAATGGGGGGATTGCAATTGTATGGGGAATATAAAAATAAAAAAAAAAGACAAAAAAAAAAAAGAGAAATGGGTTCTTCATCCTGAAAGTGAGAAAACAAGAAAAGAAAGTTATTTTCCTGATTCTGTATCCAGTTGTGTTGAGGATGTGCCATCTGTAGCAGCAACCATTTTGCAAATATGAGAGAACTTAATATATTAAATTCAATGGTGCACACCAAAGAATTCATTTCTACCCAGACCTGTGAATGTAAAATAATTTGGAATAAAGGGCTTACAGTTTCTAATCATATTGATATGAGGCCATGTTTGATGACAACAGGATCCAATACAATGGCAATGTCCTTAAAAGAAGGAAATGCAGATATAGAGAGACACACCAGGAGAACTAAAGCAAAGATTGGATTAATACAGCTGCAAGTTAAAAACTCCAAACTTCCAACAACAAGGTAGAAGGAGAAAGGAAGCGCATGGTCCTGTCAGTACCTTCCTAATTAATTTTTGGACTCCAGAATAATAAGACGGTAAATTTCCACTTTTTAAAGTTACCTAATTTGTGACACTTTGATACAGCAGTTCTAGGAAACTAGTATACTAAACATGTATACTAGTATACACTGTAATGGCAGGGAGAGAACCTAGGTCCTTAATGATGATAGTAAGACTGGGATAAAAATATATTGCTGGTCTCTTGTTTATTAAATAAGATTTTTTTCTTTCTGTTTTAACAATTTCTATTTGTGTTTCAATGGTTTTGTCGATACATTCCAAAGTGAAATGCAATTATGAGGTTTCACAAATATTTTTGGAAGAACTCTTGGAAATATCCTGGTATTCCCTCTGCTAGCCAAACATGTGGAGACTTCAAGTGTAGAGATTTTGGGGGTTAATATAAATGCGACCTCATGTGTTCTCACAGTCTGGTGAAGCTTTGCACTTACCATTTACATTCTGTTACTTACTGTCACTTCACAGTTATCTCACATTGGTATGGTCCAGGGAAAAGAATATGACATTTGCTTGGTGGCCAAACACCATACAATTCCATTTGCCTTGTATCAAGTAAATTCCATTTGCCTTGTATCAAGATCCTAGCCTGAGTTTTTGATTAAAGATAAAGAGATGCAAAAATACCCAAATCACATGCAAGAAAAACAAAATGTCTGCTTCTTCAGATAGTTCTATTTTTGTGTCTATAATTCTGCTCACCAACTGCATGTGTAACCTTTCTTTAAATTTGCAAAATAATTCAGAAGTTTTCATGCTGCCAATTGCTAATCAAACCTTCTTCATCAACATCCACGCCCTCTTCCCATTTGTCATCTTATTCATACATTGCAAACAGTAGCTCATGCAGCTCTCTCTTCTCTTTGCCTCAGGAAAACAACAGGCTGTGTAACCAAAGGGAAGCTTATTAGCAGCTAAAAGCTCATTTTTAATGCTACCTAATCAGGTTGCTGACTCATTTAAATTATGATACTGAAGAAAAAAATCCTCATTTAATGACTCAAATATTAGTGTGGCTTGTCACACAGTGTCTTTAATATTGCTTGCTTCCTCAATGAGTTCAAGAACTAACCCTTTGCCAGAATAAATTGGTAAACCTGTTTTTTTCTCAGTGCATATGGTGAAAACCTATGAGGTCTGTCTGATTTATATAAGTGTACTTGGCTGCTACTTCATATATATAACTGTTACAAAGTAAAAGTAAGGCTCAGCTCCAAGAATAAGATTTTTTTAATATAAAAACTGGACATGTTAGAGAAAATGGCATATGCAAACTTCTCCATTATGATTGGGTTACTAAATCAGGTTCATTCATTCATCATATAATTTTATTATTGATTTATCCTATAAGTTAACGAATGAAAATACAGGTGCATGAAATTTTCATGTATTTTAAATATTTTTGAAGGCTGTAACATTGTAAAGGTATTTTAGTGTTTGAAACTTTTCTGACTGGGCATGTGTTTCATTCACTATGAAGAGGAAAACTCTGACATATTGGCATCTCTTTGCTTCCTATTCCTAATATTGAAAATCTGATTTAGAATTGTGTGTACCACCAAGTAAAGGGCACTATTCATTTTGACATGGATTGGATGCACATGTAGGTCAGACAAATTAAGCCACAGCTTAATATCAGTGGCATCAAGTCCATGACTTTGGTGACTATAGAGGAAATGATTTCAGTATCCAGTTGAGTTCCAATAACATTTGTAAAACCAGCATCTGACATCTACCTAGGAAGTTTTGCTCCCTCTGGAAGTTTTTAATATTCCAGTGTCAGCCTAGAATTGTTCAAACGATTTATTTATAGAATATGAGCTATAAAATTAATGGTAAAGGAGATTAAAACAACCTGCAATCTAAAAATTAGGGATATTTGAACAACACAGAAAATGATTATTTAATCTCTGACTGAAGATTCCAGGTAGGAAAATTTCAGTGATTCCCATTTTAAATTCTAAGGTCCTTCCACAGAGACTGCTTTTCCTTTCTGCAAAATATTAAAAAAAGCTTATACCATCTTCCTTTTCAGAAGCTATTCTTTCAAATATTTGAAGAGTTATGTGTTCACTGAATACTTTTCTAGGTTAAATAACCCCAGTACCTTCATTTAACCTGTTGTGTTCTTTTTCATGCTCTTTGACTGTGGTGCCTATTATTAAATACAATAGTCCAGCTTGATAAAATCCACATGGGATAAAGTACTATTATACCTTGTGGCTCTTATATAGAGAAGCAGAATGAAGATTTTGAAGTAAAAAATATCTACTTTTGAAAGATAATAAACACTTCTCCATCTCTTCTTTTCTCCCACTACTCACTCCTCCCTGCCTTTCTGTTTTCCTTCCTCAATATTTCAGTCTACAGTCAGTCGGGGAAAGGCTATCAAGGTAGGTTTCTCATTCAGAATGATATGGCAGAGCTGCCATGTGTTGCTGGATCCCAGCAAGGCAGGGAGAATGTCCATATGTGAATGGAAGGGCAAGAGAGGCTCATCGGCCCTGGGGTGGGTATGGGAGTCTGGGTAGGGAGAGAGAGTTTTCTGTTTGAAAGGCAGAAGGCAGAGTTATAAACATTTCTACATGTATTCATATCCACTTTAATCTACTTCAATGGTGTTCAGTACATCCCTTTGTTAACTTTCTTCCTCAGAATTTTATTTCTTATGCTATTCTGAGTAGAATTATTTTCAAAAGTTCATTTGAGAACTTTTTGTTTTTAGTATCTTGAAATACAATTTATATTCATGTATTAATCTTATATTCTGCAGCCCTACCATTTTTTAGTTCTTATTCTCTGTGTTTTTATATACAGCATTTTGTCATCTATATAGAGTTTTACTTTCTAATTGCCATACATGGTTTAGTTTGTTTGTCTAGAAGCTCCAGAACATTGCCGAATATAAGTTGTAAGAACAGACATTCCTTTCTTATTTCCAATCATATGAAGAAAACATGTTAACTTTGACAATTAAGTATGAAGTTAGTTGTAGGATTTTCACAGAGATGTTTTATCAGGTTTCTTATTCTAGTTTGCTTAGGATTTTTATTATGAATAGGTGTTGGCATCTGTCATTTTTTTCCCGACTTATCAAGCTGTCCATGAGTTTGTTTTTTTTTTTAATTTTCTTTACCCTATTAATGATATAATTGGTTGAATATTGGCTCCCCAAATGATGTCCAGATGCCTACATCCTAATCCCTGGGAACTGTGAATTGTACATTGAATAACAATAGGAAACTAATTCAGATCTTGATACCTGCAAACGGCATGGTGTTCCAACACATGCCAAGGAATGAAAGGTAGCTTTGGAACTGGAAAGTGGGCAGAGATTGGAAGAATTAAGATTAATGTGATACAAAAAAATCCTAGATTTCCTTGAATACTGTGAGTGTTGAGGGTACCACTAACAAGAATTCAGTAAAAAGTGGGGGACATGGTAGGAAAAATCTATTATTTTAGAGAATACTCAAATAGTCTGTGGCAGAAATGTGAGTGTTAAAGGTGCTTCTGGTAAGGGTTTAAATGTTTGGAAATGAGGAAAATGCTTTTGGAAACTGGAAGAATGGAATAAAGGCAAGTGGCATAGCTGACTTCTATCTTATAATCTATATAGAAAA